CACTGTCACGGCCTCACTCTCAACATACACAGGAATCTTGAATTCCTTGTTATCTCAAACAATAGTGTGCTTGTTGTGATTTGCCTTTTCATAGCGTAAGGCGGTTTCATCATCGATTGTCTCGATGTATACAGTCATACATCGATATAAAGCAACATCGATATAACGTAACTCGATATAACGTAACTCGATATAACGTAAGTCGATACAACGTAACTCGATATAACGTAACTTCCACCTCGATATAACGTAACTTTTTTTAAGTCTAAAAATTGAAAAATATCAACTCACAATCGATTATTGACGTTACAAATCCATTTTAAATTATTTTATACATAGTATTATTGAATTTTTCATATAACGCTGGGTTGAATAAACATCATTTTTATCCGAGAGAGAGGAGTCAGTTCAATGACGGATGGTTTGTTATCTTTGTCTTATTTTTTTCTCCCCTTCCCAATCATGTTGGTTTGCGAAGGCAAGCCTGCACTAATAAAATTCCACATATTTTTATTGACGAATTTCCATGTGAAATTCCACATGATTTTCATGTGACCACACATAAACAGAATCCACCCAGAAGCACACATGAAATTTATGAGCCAAATGAGTAGTATGTGTGGTTACACATAGCTTTTATTTGTACACATATTATGTATGTGTCCGACACATAGATATCATTTGTTGATCATATTGCAAAAAATCATGTGTGGGACACATAAAAACAACCCATTTCTAATGTTCGGCCTAGTTTGCAGTGACAGTTCATGACTGGATCTCGAAGACGTTTGCGTGATCGATAGCAAAGCTGTCTCCTCTCTCTCAGATTTTTTATTATTTCAGTAATCTCTATTTCAAAACTACCCAAATTTGTGAGCAAATGCCTCCAATGAACCAGAAGTAGTAGTAACATTACGTTTATTTCCATTGACTATGCTTTTGACGTATGGCTGTCTTTGGCTGCGAAAAGTTTATAAATGGAGAAATAAACCAATACATACTGGGAAATATTTCATTCGACGGAGAAAACATCCAGCAATTTTGACGTAGAACTACGTCTGTGATTTCTATACCAAAAATAACCCAACAAGTAACAAAATTATGAAAGATTTTGAACAGTTATAACTCTGTCCATATCTGATGGATTTTAATTCTAAACAAGCCAATCGATTGGAAAGTCATCTACAATTCTGTTAAAATGAACACTTTATCAATTGTCGCTCAGCATTACTCAACCATTACGACAAAACGTTCCTTTTCAGGACCACCATAAATTTGTTAAAGAGTATTTTCTGGACATTTCTCAAGGTCATTAATCGGATATCAGTTCCCATAAGTTTCAATCTAACATACCATGTTAAGGCAACCCACAATTACAAAAAAACCAAAGTTGGTCGCGGCATGAAAGTGGTTTGATTTTGATCCAGAGATGATGGATTTTAATTCGTAAACGAAAATTGATTGGAAATTTTTCTACAAATGAGACTATCAATTAACAAAAGGTCACTATTAAAAATTGCACGAATATGCAACTGTTGCGATGGCGATTAAAATTATCACCGATTACCTGCAAAAAGCGCATTCTTTAACACAGATTTAAAAATCGAATTCCCTCCTGTCTCGCCTTCAAGGCCCTGCGGGAATGATTAATTCATTCATCGTTGTTTTAAATGACACCAATGTTGCCTCTTCACATCTCCAAGTCGAAAGAAAGGATGCTCGGTTATATTTTAAACTAGATCAATGAACGTGAGTCATGTGATCGATGATTACTATTTAAATTAATTATGTTCAACACAAATAAAAAAAAAAGGGTTGAGCTTGGGATTGAACTCACGACCTTCTAATTGGAAAGCGGAAACGATAACCACTACTCTACTGATTTCGCCTTGTTGTAAGACTGAATTAGTGTTCTCGAATAATGAATCTAATACGTTGTTTATAAAGCATTTACAAATCATGTGATTACAACATGGCGCATAGTGGTATAAGAGCTATTATGCTGACTGTATTCACCTTTATTCAGCAATATTGAAAGTAATGCAATGAAATCTAATAAAGGAGCTGGAGAACATTTATTAGACGTCTAATAAAGCATGTTATAAAATCAATTGAAAACATTCGAATTAAAGTGTCAACGAATGTACAAATTACTCAAATTCAGTTTGCTAAATAATTAGATCGAACTTCTGGCGTTGAATTGGGAATATCTTTTGCAGCTATTAATAAGTAAATTAATCAGATCATAGCAAACAGTGGAATAAATGTGCATTTATCGATCTCAATGAGCTTTTTCAGCACATATCGACAACTCTTTTTATTCAGCATTGTACACTGTTATATAGCATTTATTCAATATATATGCTTATTTGTGACTTTGAATTGTTTGTTGGGTGGTATAAGAGCTATTTTGCTGAGTGTATTCACCTTTATACAGCAATATTGTAAAGCAATGCAATGAAATCTAATAATGGAGCTAGGAAACATTTATAAGACGTTTAATAAAGCATTTTATTCTAGGGGCGACCCCGGCGTAGTGGTTAACATCAATACCTCTCACGCCAAAGTCACGAGCTCAACTCTCACCCCCGGATAAGTAACGAATGACCCTAGAGTGTTAAAGTGACTATAATAATAAAAAAAAAACCTCTTATTCAATCAATTGAAATCAGTCTAATAAAAACTAAAATGTATGTGCAAATTACACTTATTCAGTTTGTTATTAGATCAAACTTCTGATTCTGAATAAGGAAGACAGTCAACGTTTATAAAGCTTTTAATAAGGAAGTTAATCATGTCAGAGCAAACGGCGGAATAAAGGCGCATCTATCGATCTCAATGAGCTTTTTTCAGCACATAATTCGACTTCCTGTTTTATTCAGCATTGTTCACTGTTATACAGCATTTATTCAATGTGTATGCTTATTTGTGACTTTGAATTGTTTGTTGGGTAGGGTTCTGATGCATGGTCATTATCGGTGTCATTCCTTAATTGTGATGCGGAATCCAATTTTGACTGACCATAGAGGTAACTCTAAGACCAGAAGATCCTGGAGAAACGTGCTCAACTTTTTGGCTCAGCTCTTCGGTCCCAAGCTAATAGATACATCCCTCGAAGCATATGAAAATCCACGAACCCCTAATTTTATCCGTCAAACTTTCATAGTGAATCAAAACAAACATATTGTAGTACTAGAATTTCGACTTGAATGGGGTACGTTAATCGTTTGCTTGGCGCCAATAGACTAGTCAAGTATTGAGCCAATTTAATATCGTTAGTTTCCACCGATTGGTAATACGACATGCACTAAACTAAGGACACAGCATATACTACAATAGATCAAATCGACAGTGAGCATGCATAAGTGTTTAAACGCGATGATCAATTCCCTTCATCGATTTTCTCTTGTTTTAATAAGTCGCTAGAATTAACGTTGCTCGGTGCGTTCGCTGTTGCTTGTGATAGCCAATAATACCTGTTACAACTTTGGATTGAACAAATTCTAGAAAATTGTTTCACTTAGCTGTAGCAATGCGTATACGCCCTTATCTCGATGAACATTTCAAATTGTCCTGTCTGCTTTGATCGATTCTCTTCATCAACTTTCTCTTTTGATAACCACTGCTATGCAAACAAATTTCGCGCTAATTCTACCACATAGTTTGATAAAGGAGGTTCTTATCTAGCGTCCAAAACGTCAAATACTGGTAAGGTTTACAGGGAAAGGTTTTGCAGCTGAGTTATTAACGAAAGAAAAAATCGATGAAGAGAATCGATCAATGCAGATTGGACCTTTTCTAAATGTTTATCTAGTTTATCACTTTCGAAATTTTTAGTCGCATCAGTGGTTTCAGGTCCCGTACAGAGGAGAAAAAAAAACCCGTCTGCAAATGAATTTTTTAGTCTACAGTCGGGTTATTCGCGAAAGAGAAATTCGATGAAGAGAATCGATCAACAATGCAGATGAAACATGTCAGTAGGGTATAACTCGAAACGTTAACACACCCACGGAATCTGACTCCACCAGCTCATAGAACAAACATTGTTCTGTCTGATGATTTAGTTAGTTTGAATGGGTGTGTTGTCATTCGTAAGAAACCGACGATCCAAGTCATTGTTTACGTTGCGAGTTAGACCCTTCTGACATGTTTCCCCTGAATAATAGGCCCTTTTCTCGTGTTGCAAGAGAATTGATATATGACTTGTTCAAAAGAGCCATTCCCATACGAAGAAAGTCCTTTGGGAATCGCCCTTTTAAACTTGTTACATATTAAATCTTTCGATGTTTATTAAGTTTATTAACCAATTCAAGATGTATTGGTCCGAAATTGCAGTGATGCGAAAGCACTGGCCATAAATTATGGCCCATAATATTCTCGCACAAATCTGGTTTAGTTTAAAATATACTGAAGATAGTATACTTTTTATACGATGCTACGTGTAAACCTCGTGAATGACAAAAATGATTAAATTGTAAACAATCGACGAGTACTAATATATCAGAGTGTACACTGTACTGGAAAAATTTCGCAAAATTGGTTCACTTAACTGTAGTAATGCGAAGAGAAAATCGATGAAGAGAATCGATCATCGCAATTAGGTCTTTATGATTTTGAACGCTAGAATTACTCACTCTTGGTTTTTATGTGAAAAAATCCTGTTCCTACCAATTGCAAAAGACGAACATGTCTCTTTTTTGCTATGTTCGTCTATTTCGCAAAGCCTACTATTCATCCATTGTTTTTCCCATAGCGTTTTTGCTCGTATGCCTCACAATCAATGACATAAATTTATATATATATACACCATATCAGCAGCGGACAGAATACTAGAAACAAAAATAGCCATCCCCGACAAAGTATCTGTATTCACACGAGTGATGATAGCTGTGGGATATTGATTGTAATTATGGCTGTTTGGTGTTATTGAAAACAAAGCAAAAAAAAAGGCAGTGGGACATGTTCAGAGGGAGAGGAAGAGAGAATCCCATTCGGTTGGATATGTCGATACAATACGATAAATGTTTTAATTTCATTATTGCACTTGATATAGCATCGTGCTACAGGAACATTTTAAAACATGTGATAATACTGAGTTATATCATCCACAGCAACTGCGGCGTGCAGGTCGTGATTTACAGCTGCTCCTAAGATCCGTGGTCAATAAATAGCTACTAGGCGATGGGAAATTTCGAAACGATATCCGCTTGTAAGCAGACGTGATTGAAGCTTGTTTAGTTCCACCAAGCGATTTGTGTGTTTAGGTTTTCCATGTGAGTAAAGATAAATGTTTACTTCCCACGAGGTGAGACAGGCAATCCACAATCTACATTGATTGTTATGATTGATGATTGGTTTACGTGCCATTCTGAACGTTCTGAAAATATTGAACTTATTAAAGATCACTTCACTGTCCATTGACTTCCCACTTACATTCCTAAACCGGAACGTCACTTCTTCGACGTATTCTACGTCATCCCATACTTCCACGGTTCGGATGCGTTCGAGAGGCAGCTGGTACTCAAATTCGTAGTCTGGGGTATGATGCGTGTGGTCTACAAATACCCTTATCGTGTCGTGGTGAAAGCGAAAGATTAGCATAAATGGTCGTGTCCGGTCCTGGAACGAGTGACTAACACTACGCCGCTCGTCCTGCCAAACGACATTTTTCCAATTTTGAACCACGATACTTGAGCCATCATCGTTGAAAATCACCTTGAAGTGGTATGCAATGTAGGGCCAGGTTTGGTTCGGGCTTGTTGGTTGGCCGCAACATTTATGAGTAGTTTGACCATTGATCTCACTAGATGCAGGAGCCGAGAAGGATTTCTGTACCGGAGGCGGCTGGGGCAGGATGAAGTTCACAGAAAATCTAAAACGATACACAACGCGTTGAAATTCGCTCTCTCCTAAATCACCGCTATAATTTTCTCTTATGAAAACACCTACACACTGGCGTCCGGCTTAAGCTTTCCTTTGACGATCACTTCATCACCTATATCGGGCTTTTTCGGAATTTGAGCCCTAAATGGACGTTCACTCATCATTTACGTATTACCGATTTTCACCCGCGCGATCCACGTGTATGCTCACAGCTTGGATTCTCTCTCGATACTGAGTTCATGACGAGCAGAGCACATGTCCGATAGAAAGTTTATAAATTCAACTTCAGATCCTGTTTACTCTCAGAGAGTATGAAATGCTTAGAGAGCAAGCAACAGAGAGAAGCATTTAGGGAAAATTGGATCTAGTCGAACAGGTGCACATTAGTTAATGTCATTTGCATACGGTTGCCGTACTAAAATACCACCTAATTATGATTATTATCGTTAGAGGAAATGCATTCTCTACGTGGGAAAATTACGATTCTGGGAACAAAAATCCCCTTACACACATAAAGCTGGGGACATACACAAGTGGAATTGTTGAGTAATTAACATCCTATATGGAGTCAGCTGTCGTGACTTTACGGTTTGGTATTCTGCCCAGTAAAGTGCACGTTTCTGAGAAAGTAAGTACACTCAGAAATTGAGTGCTCATGGCGGGATGACGGAATTGGAAAGTTAGCTGTTGATGAGTATTGATAAATTTGTACGAGGATGTATGAACATTATGGGTTAGTTATTTTTTTTAAATACTTTAGTAATTATTTCAGGTGCATTTGGATTTAATGCAAATTAAAATGAGCAAAGTCTGAGGTTAATTTCTAAGAAACCTGGGAAGATTTTCAGAATTATTTTGAGGATATTTTCGTGACAATTCTGAGGAAAATTGCAAGATGGTTCAAAGAGAATCATTAGATAAGGAAAAGGAATTCGAAGCGTAATTCCATGGTATTTTTAGGAGAATACTTATGGTATGCTAATAATGATTACGATTAAATGTGAGTAGAATTCCAGGACAACTTGAATTCAATTCGAAAAAGAATGCAACTGACTGAACTGACTAGAATTCCAAACTAAGAAGAATTCTAAAAGATTAGTAAGGAGAACTTTAAGGGATTTTTAAGGATAATTTCAAGGGATGGAGCGGAATTTAATGGGAATTATGATTAAAATACAATGAAATGTGAGGATATGCCAAACGAATTATAAGGATCTTGGTAATTCCGAAGAAAATTCAAAGGGAATTAATGTCGAGGAGAGTTTCAACAAAATTTTGAGGGAAATTTCAAGAGAATATTAGGAGAGTTGCATAGGAATTCTGAGATGTATTCCAAGGTTATTCCAGCGATAATTTTTAGGTATTTCAAAAGAAAGCTCTTAGTGAATTTTGTTTCCAACTATTTCGAGAGAATTTCCAGCAGAATTTCAAGGAAATTTGTATGGTGGACAGCAAAATCTAGTCAGTGAAAAACTCTCAGTTGTAAGAATCCATTTCATTCGACTTCAAAGTCAAAATCCTCTAAAGAGATGAACGAAGATGAAAAACAAAGACTGAAAGGTCTTAGTAAGTTGACAGTCGACTAGAAACTCTGGTGTCATACTTATATAGGAATAAAGTCCGAGTAATTATATCTAAAATGGCCTAAAGTGGCATACGAGTAAAAGTGAACAAAGTGAGGAAGTGCAAGTTTAGCGCTGTAGAAGACAAAGTTTCTTTACCGCCGTAGTGTTAAGGTAAGAAGTAGAAACTCGCTGCGTTTATTGTTTGCGGTACCAGTGATTGTGAGGCCATTTTGGACTGTTTCGGAGCGGCCATCTTTTCGTGCATGGAATTCTTTATTGTTCGGTAAGTTTTTGTCGAAACGTTTTTGTAGAATTTGAATAGGGGAGAATGGTATACAACGCACCCCCTGGGCAGAACGCACCAGCTGACTTTCATTTGTGTTTTTCATAGCTTTTACGTAACTTTTTTGTTGTCTTATCAAGCAGCACTTCTAGCATAGCATCTGAACTCAAAATCCTGCATGATAAATCCTAGAAATGGATTAAACATTCCAAGAAAAACTCAAAATAAAATGAAAAAGTGCGTCTTACCCCGGGGGTGCGTTATGTACTGTTCTCCCCTACCTATAGTGCAGTGAATTTGGAAGGCTAAAGCTGCGTCACCGTCAGCGTGAGCGTCAAATTAGAATCTGATCAAAATTGACGGACTGACGCAGCGTCGATGTGAAGTCGCCAAGTAGAGATGTCGGTGGAAAAGCAACTTGACATGCATTACATCTGTCATTTTTCGTCAACGCTGACGGTGACGCAGTATTGTGGGTCCCGCTTAGTTGTTTTGTCTTCCCATTTTCCCTAAAGCCCTACAGTAAAAGTATGGACGACTGTCACCACAAAACTGAAAAAAAAGCTGTTCCAATCGAGCAAAGCGGTGCATTTTGACTGTTCGATTGGAACAACTTTTGACAGACGTCCATACTTTTACTGTAGGGCTTTAATTTTGCCAGGAGTTGATACGGCAGGTTTTGTCCAGAGACGATGTTTAATAACACGGCGAATGAGAACGACCCAAATTTGAGTTTAGTTCACTCATAATCGCCAAAAGTGCAGGAACTCAGCGATGAGTAAATTTGCCTCATGTTTTCCCAGGTTTTTCCAGGGAAAAAATCCCGAATTTGAGAAAAGTAAAGATTGGATTCACTCAGTCTATTGGTACTACCATAGAGGTAACTCTAAGACCAGAAGGTCTCGAAGAAACGAGCTCAAATTTTTGTCTCAGCTCTGGTACTATCAACCGGTGGCAACTTACGATTTTAAATTGGCTCACTACTTGACTAGCCTATTGGTCCCAAATAAATCTATAAGCGTACCCCGTTCTAGTCGAAATTATACTACTACACTATGTTTGTTTTGATTCGCTATGAAAGTTTGACAGTTAAAATGAGGGGTTCGTGGATTTTCCTAAGTTTCGAGGGGTGCATCAATTAGCTTGGGACCGAAAATAGTACCAGAGCTGAGCCAAAAAGTTGAGCACATTTCTTCGGGACCTTCTGGTCTTAGAGTTACCTCTATGGTACTATCTTCGGTCCCAAGCTAATCGATTCACCCCTCGAAACATAGGATAATCCACGAACCCCTCATTTTATCTGTCAAACTTCCATATCGAATCAAAACAAACATAAAGTAGTACTGGAATTTTGACTAGAATGGGGTGCGTTAATCGATTTGCTTAGGACCAATATGCTAGTCAAGTAGTGAGCCTATTTAAAATCGTTAGTTTCGAATTGATTGTTGGTACTACTCCGAGACTGAATAAAATTTTCGTCATTTTCCTCATTTTCCGGCAGATTTTTTAGGTTTTCCACAGGAAACCATGAGACAAATTTTACTCATCGATGAGTTCCTGCACTTTTGGCGATTATGAGTGAACTAAACTCAAATTTGGGTCGTTCCCATGCGCCGTGAAGAGACGCGCGAAGACTGAAGCCAAAAGATCCAATCGAACCGTCAAACTCGGTTCCAATCAAGAAATGTAAGTAAACACGAGCGCTTCACGAGGAAAAGCGTGAGGATTATTGAGATGGCGGTTGAAATTTAATTTTTGAGATAATTAAGTTTTCCAAAAAAAAAAAAACCATACACGAATGATAACCCAAATTATTGAACTATTCACAAATAGTTTGAATGATACCCCAAACACGTCGTTAGGTAACATATAGTATAACAATTTCATTATATGGTTGCGTATGAAAAGTGCAATTGGATACTATTTGACTTTTGCAATACAAATAAAACACTAGTATAATCTGTTGAGATTGATTGTTTATATTTACATCAATGCCAAAGAGCAAATATTTTTAAAAAATTACAAAGCCGCTGATCGACTGTCAAGTTTTTTATAACAAATGAATTTGGCGAATGACTTCAGAAAAGGGACTTCTCGATTACTTTTTTAAATGGACGTATCTGCTTTTGTAAACAATGCATTTGATCTTCGGTCGGTGATGGTAGTGTTAGCATGCGTGGGCAAGCTACCAGTTAAGCCAAATTAAGCGCAGATTGCATAATTTTACGTAACGCTCTGTAAAATATCCGCTCCAATATGAAATATTTGGTTTCAATCTGTGTTGTCAAAAATTGATTATTCAAATACTTCGTTTGAATACCGATACTACCGAAACGATCAAAAAAGTATCCGCTCAAATTAAAAGTCACTAGAAGTAGACACAAAATTGTGGGCTGCCAAACCTGGCAGACAAAATAACTTTAGCGCTGGCCAGACTGAGCAGGTATAACATGTTATAACGGTTGTCAAATTATTGTAACACAGAAACCACCATCAAGATAGCGCTATAACATGTTATAACCATAGAGGTAACTCTAATAGTACGTTCAGACTACAGAGTTATAACATGTTATAGCGCTATCTTGATGGTGGTTTCTGTGTTGCAATTATTTGACAACCGTTATAACATGTTATAACCAACAATCAATACGAAACTAACGATTTTAAATTGGCTCACCACTTTAGTAGCCTATTGGTCCCAAGCAAACGATTAACGTACCCTATTCTAGTTGAAATTCTATTACTACACTATGTTTGTTTTGATTCGCTATGAAAGTTTGACAGATAACATCAGGGGTGTGTGGATTCATGCAGAACATGCAAGGGTGAGTGAAATAGCTTGGGACTGCTTGGGACCGTTGTTCTGGTACTGAGTGAGCCAAAAATAATAATGATTTTCTTCGGGACCCAGTGGTCTTAGAGTTACCTCTATGTTATAACTCTCCAGTCTGGACAGCGTTTAAGACTACTGTGTTACCTGACTTATAACGAATATACGTTGTATACGAGTACCCCGAATACAACGTATAGTTCGTCTAATTAAACATTGCAAATGCTATGGAAAATTAGACGAGTCATACGTTGTATTCGGGGTACTCTTATAGAACGTATATTCGTTATAAGTCAGGTAACACAGTAGTAGCAACAATCAATACGAAACTAACGATTTTAAATTGGCTCACTACTTGACTAGCCTATTGGTCCCAAGTAAATCGATCAACGTACCCCATTCAAGTCGAAATTCTAGTACTACACAATGTTTGTTTTGATTTGCTATGAAAGTTTGACAGATAAAATGAGGGGTTAGTGGATTTTCCTATGTTTCGAGGGGTGAATCGATTAGCTTGGGATCGAAGATAGTACCA